TCTCACTTGTACCAGTACAACGGCTGCCCCATCCTTCAAACCGAAACGCATTACTGCTTCACGGGAGAAATAGGTAGGGTGGTGGTACCTACCCGTGCGGACTCACAAGAGGTCCTACCACCAGTAATTACGTAAATTATAACTTTGTGGGTTTGATTTTTTTATTACACAATGTTATTCCTTCACCGTGGAAGTCAATCGTGAGTAATTTATTAAGTATGCACTTCATTAGAAAATTTGCTACCTGCCTGCGGGATTTGAACACCGATGCGTCGCTCGATACGAATGCAACGGACGTCTTATCCCTTAGGCCACGACGACTTCGACTGAAGCGAGAGCTTACCCATATTCATATCCTCAGTGCTCTTCGATTTTGTACGACGCGAACCAGACGTGTTGTTATTTACCACGTTGTGGTTGTGATGATGCGCGGCATGACGCTCTGACTCACGGGACTGGAAATTAATATTTTAATATTAAACAGAGCATTCAATAACTTGAAACTCCTAAGTTTCTTAGAAATTTTTCTTTTCCAATATCATTTGTACAAGCTGTGAGGTCTTAATTATTTTGAGGTGAGGTGAGGTTCGATGGTAGTGGTAAAGTTTTGTTTATGTTTTATATTCTCTCCACTATTTTTTATTCTCTACGTGACTAATATTGCGCGGACTGGATAGTGTCTTGTTTTGGTCACTAAAAAATAAAGAATAAATTGTTTGACGCCAAAATATCTCATCACTGTCATCTCATTCAATTACATAAAATAATATGTATTGTGCTAAAAGAAACCTGTTGAAACTGGAGGTTACAGTAACCAAACACCAGAATGTGAATAATGCAGTTCTCTTTTAGCTCGAAGTCGAAATTTCAGATGAAATGCAATAAAGGCAAGTAAACCATTCATATGGTTTGATATTCATCACGTTGACTTTATTCGTTTATTAATTATTTTTAAACATCCAATTTCCTAAAAAACCTTTTTTGTTTATTTTTTTACAACTCCAGATGTACGTATTGTTCTATTTAAGTAGATAAAGTTGTAGATAAATATTATAGTATTAGTAATGGTTATAGTCATTGTAATAGATAAAGTATTCTATTTAAATATAACACAGACTTAGGGTACATTTTTTTTATTGTCCTTGTAGGCAGACGAGCATACGGCCCACCTGATGGTGAGTGGTTACCGTCGCCCATGGACTTCAGCAATGCCAGGGGCAGAGCCAAGCCGCTGCCTACCGCTTAATACTCTCCACAAGCCTCTTTTAAAGAAGGACATGTCATAGCGCTCAGGAAACACTTATAATAACCTCAAAAAAAAGTAAGATTAACAATAATTAATAACGAAAAGTTTTATGGTTTAATCCTACATTTATTTATTTGAAAACTTTACTTTTTTACTTACAATTTTCGTGGTCATAATGACAGTAATAAAAGCAAGGTTAAACCGTAAAACTAGTTTTAATTATATGTATTTTATGTTCACGAAAACTTAATAAAATGCTTTATTAAATTAGTGCCCGGCCCGTTTATTATTAGTTTATCTAAAACATTCAGGAAACGGAAGAAAAAATTATGTTAACTTGCAAAAAATTGCATAACATACCGATTCATTCCCGTCACCATAGTCGATGCTCTTCGGCATGTGCTGCAAGGAACATTCCTTCCCAGAGCGAGTCGAAGTTGCCGAAGATTTGGATGAGGTAAGGGTTCCTCCAGCCTGCACGCCTTCAGACTTTAAATCTTGACCATGTTGAGTCGAACCCGCTGTTGCTTGTGATTCCTCAGAAGTCTATATAATGAAAAACATTTTTGAATACCAAAAAGTTTCCTTCAAATTCATCAAAGGTAAAATAAAGGTAAAATGTTCCCATTTTTATCTCGTGCAACTTGTATTTTTGTGAATAATAAAATGGCTGTATTAGTAGCAGCGGCCGCAGCAGCCTCTGTTTCTATAGCGCGAGTTTTAGTTCTCGGCAAAGTTGATGACCCAATATAAATTCGTGTTTTTACAACTTTACTGCTTTGAACATTGAAAAACAATTGAACACTGAATAATAGAACTTCCAAGCATGTTTGCTACTAATATCAGTAAACATTCATTAACACATGATAGTAATGTGTTTCTTTTTGTGTGCGACTCTTTTTAATTTCTTCATGAGTCATAAGGCGCGGACTTGATTGTCTTTTATTTCGGTCAGCAAATAGTAAGAAATAAATTGCTTAAAAATATCTCATCACTGTCATCTCATTTAGTTGCGAGGTGTCTTCCGCTCTGTGATGTCGGCTTAGAATTGCAAAAGGCCGCCTCTTCCCGTGGATTATATAAAAGGCGATTAAGGGATTCATCGGAGAATGAGCAATAGTGTTATCTAGGCATTAACAGGCGTACTGGGATCATTAACCTACATTTACTGATGTTAGAGTCTATCGCAAGTCCGCATGGGTATCCCGCAGATACAAACATCTTGCTTGTTTCTACCGCAAAATAGTCAAGTGTTCCGTTTTTAAGGATGGTTTAACAGCCGTTTACTCTAAAATTTAGACCTCGACTGCATGTCTCACGGAGGGGGACAACATTCGCGTCATGATGTCTAAGAGCTCTATTGTATATCGAGTTAATTCAACCGGAATAAATGAAGAAAACCAGCCTTTTAAGCTAAATAAAGCAAACGCCAGATAATGCTACACAATACCTTCAGGTCTATATTCTTCCAATATTTTTCTTGCTGTACAGAATTAATGAGCAATACAAAAAGTTTAAAAATAGCCTATGATAAAACTGATTATTTAAATTCACATTTGACAGCTCACGGATTTCTTTTTTTCGTTCCTTTTCTCTATTATTCCCGCTATTTATTTTAATTCTAAATTCAAATTTCGAATCTCGATGCAACCAGTAACTACTGATATAGTCTGTTTATCTTTTTTTTGTTTAAACTCTTTCGATTTTTCTTCAAATTTAGAGCACCCATCCACATGAATCAGAGAGTTTTAATGATATTTACCAGTTTTTTTTTATTATTCAGGAATATTGCTCAGTATTATTCTTCTAGTAGAATATAAGTAGGTACTTTATGAATCAAATTCAATAATGAACATAGTATTTACTTAATTTCGGTACAGCATAATAAATTGAACCGGTCTGTTTACTTGGTCAAGTTAACTGGTAATGTTTAAACTTAAATAAAATAAAAATATCTTTAATTTCAAGAGCATTGGAAGATCAATGGGCGGTGTTCAGCAATAGCCGTAGTCAATTGGCTATAAGAGGTGCTTCCTTTTGTCTATACCACGTTACTCGAATAAATTCTTACAATAGGGATTTAAATTTTTAATCCAGAGCGTATGATTACTTTGCTTTACCGACAGAAGTCCTATGACGACTTAGCGTACACTTTGTATAATGTGGCGCTAATTTTAGCTCGAACAACACATTTTTGTTGCTCTTTTTATTCCCTTACTTGATTAATAGTCGCAAACCATAAACATCAACAACAACATCGTGAATGTCGCCATCTTTTAACACGGCTTCGAGCTGATAATTCTATCGACAATCTATTTTATAATGGCTGTCCACCCATCGAAGAGGAAACCTTAACATGCTAATTGTCAATATGCTCTGGTACACAATTCTTAATTTAATTATAGTTTTTACTTTCATGATAGATAGTTATTGTTTATGTTAAATGATTGTGCTAATTTTATTTATTTATTTTTTATTGCATAAATGGATAGACGAGCTCACAGCCCACCTGGTGTTAAGTGGTTACCGGAGCCCATAGATATCTACCGCGTAATTGCCGTCACCCACCTTGAGATATGAGTTCTAAGGTCTCAGTATCGTTACAACGGCTGCCCCACCCTTCAAACCGAAACGCATTACTGCTTTACGGCAGAAATAAGCAGGGTGGTGGTACCTACTCGTGTGGACTCAAAAAGAGGTCCTACCACCAGTAATTACGCAAATTATAATTTTGCGGGTTTGTTTTTTACTACACGATGTTATTATTCCTTCACCGTAGAAGTCAATCGTGAACATTTGTAAAGTACGTATTTCATTAGAAAAAATGGTACTTGCCAGCGGGATTCGAACACCGGTGCATCACTAGATATGAATGCACCGGACGTCTTATTCCTTAGGCCACGACGTCTCAAATGGTAAATTATTGTGCTAAAAATATAGAAATCGTACTTACATTGGTTCCATGTGTGCCAACAGATGCGGTTACGGTTTTGGGCGCAGTAGAAGTATTAGTTGTCATTGTAGATGTCTCCTGAGATTTCGGAGGTCTCGATGGTGGCTGAGATTCCGATTGACGCGCGACCGCTATTTTTTAACAATAATTAGTCAATTCAACTTATTATGAGAATATTCTTATTTTTGCATTAGACAGAATCGCTATAATAAAATAAAGATTTGAGCCCGATTTTATATTGCCTTTCGTATTTATCATATTTGTGGTGTATGTATTATTGTAAGGCCTCTTAAAAATAAAATAGTTTTACGAAATAAAAAATAAAATTTGTGTTCGTGTTACAATGCCGTTTTTAAATTTATACCATTATACATACCATCCAACCCTAAATGGAAGGCCGTTTTTGATCTAATAACGAAAAAATACGCACACTCTTTATCGAAGTAATTGTAGGATTTACATTGTAAATAAACTTAACAAGGACTCTTTAAAAAATGTGATTTCAAATATCTAATGCATATTTATTGGATGTAAGACCGCATTTACCGCACAAGGAAATTATTTCAACATCAAACTACGTGGTTAAATCGTTTATGCTCAAGCTTTGCTTTTTATGGGATAATCTAATTGCTGTTTAAGGGACATATACAGTAATTAGTCTTACTAATATAATTAGTTCCACAAACTTTAAATTTAAAAAAAGCTAAGTACTGTTTCACAGAGTTACTGGCACGTTTTACTGGACATACAAATGAGTTGTCTACCATATGTAATCGAAAGAAATTTACAAAAAAAAAACTTTTATTTGTAATATAGTACAATTTTACCGTGGGGCGTGGCAAAAATATTAAGCATCTTACGTTTCGGTGGCGGTTGATGTGTGGCCTGTGAATTTGTGACATTGTCGTACAAGGAAGTAGAAGATGTGGCAGCAGCGACTTTGTCAGAGCGGGCTGCATTAGTAGCAGCGGCCGCAGCGGCCTCTGTTTCTATAGCGCGAGTTGTAGTTCTTGGCAGAGTTGAGGACCCTGTATAAATTCGTGTTTTTACAGCTTTACTATTTTTGAACATTGAAAAACAATCGAACACTGAACTATAGAACTTGCAAGCATGTCTTATATGTTCTCAAAATTAACGGCACAACGTTTGAGAGCTTCGAGGCGTAATAATAATAACATAACTCTTTATTTAACACCATAATAATATGTACAGAGCAAGCATATAACACAAATAATAGACTGTGACATAAATTGGCGGCCTTATCGCTGAAATCGGTCTCTTGCAGGCAACTTGCAGGGAGAGGAATAGCATGGACGGTGCTATATCTTAATAAACTTACAAAAAATATATACTTATATACACATGGGAAAAATAAATACAATATAATATAGACTTACATATGATTAAATACAAATAAATACTTAAAAATATGCAAGTAAATACAAAAGAAGTAGCAAGTTATACAATTATATACTAGGAGCCATATTATTATGCAAGACAATACGGTAGGGCGTACTCACTGTATCTTGGATCTTGAGCTCTTAATCGAGCATATTGTTCTTGAGTCATGCAAGTACATTGTGCTTCACGGCCATAGGTTAAGCTGCAACAGTAAGGGCAAATATGCATATAAATAATAAAAAAGAAATCATTCAAATATTCATTAATATTAAAACTATATATTACCTAGATCGATTAGGACTTGCCGGTGTAGACACGGGTTTCCTTTTAGCCTTAAACTTTTGCTTACTTCCAGGAGGTTCCAATTTTAAACTATAACTCGACGAAGCTTTGCGGGAAAATTTGAAAGATGGGGACTAAAATAAAAATGCAACATGCAATCACAAAATAAGGATTAATATTCGTATGTGATTCGGATTAATATCTTTTTAATTTCCTGAAGTTACTCACACAACACTCTCTAAATTGTTTGGCATCTATTGGGGAAGTAAAATTTAGTCCCCAAGTGTCGTTAGTCATTGGATCCTTCCAGTACACAAAACATTCCGAGGCTTGACCAATACGAGTACCTGCGATAGTTAAACAGTGCATTCAATCGAAATCGTTTCAAACTGTATGTGTAATATCAACTCTGGACCTACATTAATATAATGTATCTATACTAATATTATAAAGAGGAAAGATTTGTTTGTTTGTTTGTATTAAATAGGCTCCGAAACTACTGAACCGATTTGAAAAATTCTTTCACTGTTTGGAAGCTACATTATTCCCGAGTGACATAGGCTATAATCTTTTTTGAAAAAAATAGGGATCCTTACTAAAACTTTAATAATGTAACCCAAGGTATAAAAAAAGACCTAAATATTCTTTACATCGCGTGCCTTGCGAAAATTGTTAATAATAGAATAAAATAATGTACTACGACTTTGTAGATCACATTATTATTTACAAAAAGTGTTGCGACAGCATATGTCTAACTATTATAGTTATGCCGCAATAAATGTTCTTCTGTATAAAAAAAAAATACAACGTAAAATATCGTTGAAATTTTTGTTAAAGTCCCGAGCAGAGCCGGAGCGGGCCGCTAGTATTTTATAATGTGACTTCAACACTATCAATCTCTGAAGACCAGATGTACTTAAATATATTGGGAACTTAATTACATTTTCTTATTTTATTTTTAAAAAACCTTTAAATTAGATAAAATATGTATATCCTTTTTTCATTGAATTTAAAAGAATACTAAATACGTTCCAATTTAAATTACAATATTCTAAATATTTAATACATAATTTAAGTGTGAATCCAAGTTTAATACAAATTTCAGGATTGTGAACTATAATTGAAATAAAAGAAAGTATTTAATATAAGAAACTTCCGAGAATAGTTAACAGTTTATTCAACAATAAGAAATAATCATTTGAGTAATTTCAACGTCGAATTACTGAATTTCGAATAATTACTAAATCATCGAGTGTAAATTTAAAACTAGGTTACAGTCGCTATTGGCTTGTTTTCCACCGTTATAAACTCTTTTGTAGCCAGCCATATATTGGCTAACATTGTATCTGTGTCAAAAATGTTAAACTGATAAAAGAGAACATTCGAATTTATTCCTAGCGCACATAAATATTAAATGCAGTAAATTGAGAAGACGTTCCTGGACTGTGACCTATTTAATTTGCTTGTTGTGTAATGTTGCCTGTCTGTAAACGTGAACACACACTTCTGTTATATTTGATTTTTCGTCATTGAATAAGATAATTTTTTTTTATTGCTTAGATGTGTGGACGAGCTCACAGCTCACCTGGTGTTAAGTGGTTACTGGAGCCCATAGACATCTACAACGTAAATGCGCCACACACCTTGAGATATAAGCTCTAAGTTCTCCGTATAGTTACAACTGCTGCCCCACCCTTCAAACCGAAACGCATTACTGCTTCACGGCAGAAATAGGCGGGGCGGTGGTACCTGGTACACGTACGGACTCGCAAGAGGTCCTACCACTAGTAAAAAATCTTTTGTAGAATACTTTCAAAATATTAGCACTCAATTTACGTAGAATTAATTTGAAAACATTTGAAGTGATATTTTAATAGGCTAACCTGGTTGAAGTAGTCTCACATCTAGTATTTTATCAACTTGAGAATTGTACGCCGTGATATGAAATACGCATTCCGGAGAATCTTGAATGCATGTGATATTGACCGGTACCAGATCTTCGGATACCTGCTGCCATTTCACTGTACCAGCGCCACTAGCTGACACATGGAATACTTCAGCCCATAATCTGAAATATATTTTGGATAAATATAGGATCGATTTCTTCTGACAATTTTAGGTCAGAATGCATATAGCATCACCGCAAAAATACGCAGGATGATGGACCCTGAAAGTGTGGACTTACGTCGCCGAGACCTCGATCGAGTAGTCTTTACTAATACACATATATATTTAAGGTGATTTAAGGTTATTTCTTACTTTCATATAATATTACAATTCTGTGTAAAAATAGAAGCTAATAAATAAGTGTTGAAAGTGTTATTTACTTCATTTAAAGAGATCACAGAGATCAGACAGCAGTTTAAGAAGTTTGATTATTTGTAATCACAACTATCATTTTACAATTACTAGTGGGCCCGCACTGCAGTAGTCGAAATTCGACTATAATTAATTCAAATTATAAGTTTGAACATTATTATGGTTCTATTGTCAAAAACTATTATACTTCTACTAGCTGACCCGGCAAACTTTGTTTTGCTATATATAAGATTTCTAGGGAATTTCTAGTGTAGAAAAAAAAACTAACTTATTGTAAGTGTGGTAAATGAGTGAAAGAGGTTTGTAGCGCTGTGAACGATGAGGGAATATAAAAATAACAAAACCCCATTCAACCACAATATTGCCTAATTATAACAAACAAAAAATTGTCCAAAAAATAAAAAATGTTAGGGGATGGACAACCCTTATCACTAGATAGTAGAGAACAATAGATAGTAGCCGATTCTCAGACATAAACAGCACATAAAGTTTCATAAAAATCGGTCAAACCGTTTCAGAGGATTATGGTAACTAACATTGTGACACGTGAACTTTATATATAAGTATTATGATTTTTTTTATTTTAAGTCATGACAAAATAAAAACAAAATTCTTGCATAAAAAAAATAAAAGTTTTGAATTAGCAAATAAAAAATAAGGGTTGATCGTAGAGGGGTGAAATTTTAAGGTTGTATGTATTTTGTATGCTGTATCATAAGAACAAAATTTTTTGGCTAGAAAATAAATTAAAAAAATTAGGGGTGGACCCTTAACATTTAGAGGGATGAAAAATAGATGTTATCCGATTCTCCACCCTGACCAATATGCACGCTAAGATTCACCAAAATCGGTCGAGACGTTTCGGAGGAGTTCAATCACGCACAGCGTGACACGAGAATTTTGTATACATATTAGATATAATCACAGATTTCGGCAAGACTACACTATAGACTTATAATTATTAAGCAATGACAAAAGTTTGATAGTAAACAAAGAGTATCTATATGTATATGTGTGTGTCTCAAATACATGGTAGTGTGTGTAATGTTTTTTATTGATTTAATGTATTATTATCGAATAATTAAAAAAAAAAATGCAATCTGCACTCCTTCTCTGTATTCTCTATGAGTGTGGGAAATTTCATACTTCTCCGTTCGCGCAATTTTCATAAGAAGGGGTACAAAGTTTTTGCTTCACGTATTAATATATATATATATTTACATTTAACAACTGAAAGTTGAAAATTAAAGTACATGCATCAAATTGATAGATGGAGAATTAAAGTTTTATAATATATATTATAATCGGTGTAACATTGAGAATATGTATGAAATATAATCTTAGATCTTTTGCTGGAATGAAAGCATAGAGGCCACGAAAGAGGGTTCAAAAAGATAAAGATATCACGTACAGATCCACAGAAAATACCCTTTCTGGTTCTATCAATTGTGAGAGGGATTAAATGCATTACATGGTTCCTGTTCAACTTCAAAATGAGAAAGTACAATTCACCTTTGTAATCCCAAATTTAATTCGAAGCGACATTTTGCATGTTTTCTTGTTAAATCCTGTACATTTTAAGATAAAAGAACAAAATAATAGAATAAATGTTTTTATTATTGACTGTTGTAAACTATTTTCATTGAAATAAATACAATTTCGGGTAGAAAAAACTTCAAGTAGCAATGAGCGGTTCTTATGAACTTAGACAGGACAAGGATAGAATATTTAATTAAATAGACAGTAAGAAATACGCAGACGCACACTTTATATAATGTCAGGGTAGGGTTCCAGTAGTAATCCCCAAAAACAAACTAAAAAGAGTTTAATATTTAGAGTGTGGATAGCCGCGAAAGTTTAAACCTACTCGAAATGTAATTCAAGTTATATTAAGCCATCTTAGATACAGATTACGAATGACAAAAATATTACGTTACGGTATGTAGTTTCATTCGGTATTCATTAAAATTACAAAATGACATGACATATCTTTCTTTAAACCAGAAATCCCATAGTAATCTTAGCCGTCTGTAAGTAATGAATATCTCAACATAGTTGCACCGAAAAGCAAATAAGCGAATGCAGCTGTTTTTTATGTAAACTAATTTTGTTATGCTGCTGCATAGAACAGATAAGTTATTCAAACAACGAAAAACACAATATTGATCATGGAAAATAACAAGAAACAGATCAGTTTGATACTTAATTACATTGGAAATGTTTAGTTAAAGTCAAATTAAAAACTCCGTTGATGTAGCAATAAATCTTTAAAATTTTTAAACTGAAAAAGCATAATCCGTATCTTATATTCGTAGAAATTATCACTGCAAAGTCATAACTTACATCGAAAAATAATAAGTAGTTTTTTGCCATTTCACATTCAGAAGGTAATGTTAAATAGGCTGTTTATGGTGCCCATGATCAAAAACCATTTTACCTCAATAAGTGACCATCACGGCGGCGAGAGTTCTGCCACGGGCTGTCTTCATAGCGGTACGCCTTGCGCAGTATGGGCGCGCAAGAACAAGATGAGAGCTTATTGCCCATCCCGCGCGAGCCACACTCGGCGCACTGCACTATGCTGCCTGTAATAGAAACAATTTCATAGCACTAATCAACTAGGAAACCTAAGAAGCCTGTATGAATATCAAAGGCATACTGGTTGACGCTTGTGAATTATGTGCCCACTGAGCGTCTCGCCGGATTTTCTCAGTGGGTCGCGTTTCCGATCCAGTAGTAGATTCTACAAAGCACGGCTCTTCTAGGGCCAGTGTTAGCAACACCCCGGTTTGAGCACCGTGAGCTCATCTACACATCAAGGAGAAGCTGAAATAGCCTCTCAAGGCTATCAGTATAGGCAGGGAAAAAAATTGAATTAATTTCTGCCTAAATTATCCAATGAAACTTCAAGTTTGATGTAAAATAATGTTAAAGTATTTAAATTCTCAAAAATTTTTTTAACTATAAGAATAATTTTTACAAAGAAATATCGGAAGTTTTTGTTGTTCGATTATTCTGATTCGTCTGTTTATGTGGGTAGACTCATAGATAGACCCATTTCAAAGGCCCTTTTTTCCTTCACGTTGTACCTGCCTAAACACTAAGCACTGGTTTTTAGATTTTCCTCATTTTTTCATCAGTGATCGTTTTATTCGCCGTTTCTTCATCGACTTTCGTAGACCCCTATTTATATACATGTCATTAATCCCCCATTACGTTTTTGGTAAACTCACTACGGAGACCATTGCCTAAATAAAAAACTTTGGGATGCACTATTTAGGACTACAAATGTATTGAAAAAATGTATTGCAGTCTATCATTGAATTAATAATTGTATGTAAGAGTTTAAGAGAGTTTCTTACTAAACAACATGAATTTTAAAATATCATCATATTAAACATATTCAAGTCCAGGTTTTATTAATGTACTTACTTTATAAAATCAAATGATTTTTTTTATCCATTAGTTATACCATTAATCAGTTAACCTCAGGTGGACATTTGATCGAGTATCGTGCAAAAAAGTTACAAGTACACTGTATTGGTTTGAGGTAGAAAAAAAGCAGGGTAATATCTACATATTATGAATATTATTATACGATCCTATAAAACGCCCTTACATTAGCTAGCAATGATAATTTTATTACTACGTACGTATATGCAAGTTTATGAATTTTCGCAGGTTTCTTTTTATTACACGATCGTAAATACTATTTCATTTTAGATATTTTTATATAGCTGCTATTTGGCAGACGGCCCACTTGATGTTAAGCCGTTATTGAAGCCGAAGCGTTCATCCTGGGACATTAGGAGAAATATAGGATGTAGGTGTGATGCATTGAAATAATGTCTACAACGACCCACGGTCTCGAACATACCATTGCTCCGGACTAATAATATAATTGACAATACAAGCCTTTAAGGCACCACGATTGCCCGACAGAAGAAACTAGACCGCAAGACATAAGATAGAAAGTTCGAGCAATACATACGCCATGCGCTTTTGTTTTCATTAATAGTCATCATATGATGTAAAATTGACACTTCTGCTACACACCTGTCCTCGTGAAACTGGAAAGGACTTCGGGTCACCAGTAATCATTTCTTCCTAATAAAAAAAAGACTTCCATTTCACGTCTCAAGATGGGCACCGTCTTTCAGTTTTACAGAACAGATAATGTAGACAGAGAAAAAAACATGTGTGTAGTTCACACACAGTAGAAAGCCTTCAGAAGTATTTAATTGCTAGTCATATGCTAATAATAAGGCTAAATCCTCTCAATGTATATTCGTACATATTTTGTCTATTTTAAGTAGGTATTTTTCGTTTCATTAAGTTTCAATTCGCAATGGAACTTTTTAGTTCAAAAATAATTAAATCTTGAAGTAGGTAGTATGCTTTTCTTATAGATAATATTTCTAAATTAGAAAGACCTCAACTGGGCATGTCACAAAAATTGGTTAAGCCGTACGTTGAGACACAGTTTCAGTAGTGTACACAAATCACTGAATTATTAATATTCGTTAAGGTTGCTGAGAATAAAATACATATTTAAATTGATTATGTAGATGATTCTTACCCGCGGTCCCGTGATGTCACCAGGTTCCATCGGTGCGAGATAAAGAGTGTGCGCGGTTGAGACTTTGGGACCTCTGCGTTCCGTGTCTGTATGAATGTTTCACGACGCCATGCTGAAACATCGCAATGGTAACCGAGAGCTCAATTAAAAATTTAAATTTATTATATAATTTCGTGATCCATAGCAATTCAATTCAAATCTCAACGTTAACACCAAAGGAAAACGTTGAGTTGATTAAATTATTTCACACAATATTTATTGATTTATTTATACAAAAAAATATGTTTAAAAGTTTTAAATGAATTCATTTCAAAATGCATGCAAGCATTTATTTTATTGATTATTATTTTATATAATGATTAATGTCCCATGATTTAGTGACACATCGAACATCACACGAAGCAGAGTAACATGCAGGCTCGCATTATATACTTGTTTACGCAATGCTATCAGTTGAGTTAACGTTTACAAATTTATTTACAAAGTAACGTGATTATTTGGTTGACTAAATGGCATTGACATATTTTTCCATGTTTGTGTAGTCACTTAGACGCATAATTATGAGTTCAGACATACATACGTAGCCTGACGTGTTTTCGTCAGTATTGCAGCCTTGAATTCTAAAACTTTCAGAAAAATGATTTATTTGTGATATTTACTATTCCAATTATTTTACTTTTTTTTACATCATTTTCAGTGTAATGAAGTAATGATTGAGGATATAATTATTTACATCTTAACGTACATACATATATATTTTAATTTTGTTTAAAAGTCTGAAATTTGTGTAACTTTGTCATTTTAAAATAAAATCATGATCACGAAAATAATTATCTAGATACTAATCAAGTGAGAAGCCCCGCAACACGGTAACTTCATACTCACACCATCTCTAATTCCGCTGCTACCACCGGTCGTTTTAATATTTAGGACAACGAACTTCATTACGCAAAAAACTTAACATTTAATTAAAGATACCATTACTTTGTCCAATAAACGCCTTAGAGGTTTAATGAAACCTTTATTAATTTAATAAGTATAGTCTTACTGAGAGATTTGAGCTTTCCTTTTAGAAAACTAAAAATAGCTAATCATTATCACTGATATTTTTATTCGTGTTTAAACCTATCACTTACCACTACGTTAACAAATTGATAGTGAAATTAAGAAGTTGCCTTGTGATAAATTTCTATCTGAAGGTAATTAAAATTTTAGAGCTACATTTCAATCCCCAAGTTGGTAGACGGGGCCTTCAATCATACTAGATTAGTCTAACCGTATGTGGGTCAGCTCAGCTTTGGCTTCGTATTTTAAAATTTTTACTGAAATATGCAGGTACTTTTGACGTTAATTCGACATCTGGGGCAGAGCTGTGCATCTGATTATTATTCAGCTCACCACAACTAATATTTTAATTGTTTCTCATTGTGCTTCGGTTAGAATTAAGAATGATATTGTCTTTTCAAAGTTAGTTCTTTGTTAATGTAAGAATTTCATACCGAAATTGAAATCATATTTAACAGTTTTGTACAACACGAACGATAAAAAATCTGACATTTAAATAAGCACGACAAAGATTGTTTGTATTAAATAGCCTGTTATTATTCGATAGTTACACATACGCTGCTACTCTTATTGGAGAAATAAAATACTATATATGTAATGAAATAGACTTGGTGCATTATTCATAGAAAATATCATCTTCAAAGGTATTTATTAAGACGCGGTGGCATTGGTTTTATCTAGCGTGACCTTAGTACATACATTTTATAGTTAAATAAATATTTGGATTTAAGCGAAAAATATACGTGATCGTGTTAAATTATGTCTGTAAAGGTGAAATATAAACTTAAACAAGTCTCCCATTAGTTATGTCATGATCACAACCTTTCTTGTTTGAATTATGTGTATGCTCAATTTATCGTAATTTTTTTAATAATTGTATGTGACCATGCATAAACTAATTGGTTGAAATATTTTAAGGTGCAGAAAATAGGTGTAGGTTTATGTATTGGTATTTCAGCAGTTAGTTATTATCGCAAAATTTTCTTATTTATTGGACATTCACGAACGGGGTAGGGAATACAAACACTCCATGTGCAAATTATTTTAAAGGTGCTACGAACCTCAAGATTGTTCCAATTATGCGCTGAAAATTTAGCAGCTTCCACGCTCTCTTTAGCACCCATTTTAGCGAACTTGTGAAATCACTCGAAAAAACTAGGTATGACAATTCGTTTTATATGTGTATGCTCTGAGCTCGTAATGATAATGTGCACTATGACCAGTCTCTTTGGATACAAGTCGATTTTAATAATATTTTAAGTACCTCGATCTTCGGTCGTTCGCTAAGTAAAAAATTCACAGCGCTGAATAGTAAATGAAGGGTGGTGTATGTTGCAGCGAGCGAGAGAGAACACGGCACCAGCTCGAGATGCAGGCGCGGCGCGACACGAGTCGCGTGTAAACACCGCCAGCTGCTGGCTGCGGACAGCTCTGGGCTGCTCGGTTGACCACCCACACCGCCGACACACACACAGACACACTCTCGTACAATCGACAGGTACCTTGGCGTCTAATCCACCACTCAGGATTCGGTACACCTTCGATTATTTAGTATTTTCTAAGTGCGCAGAATGTTGTGTGCGGAGGTATAGTTGATCGAGCTTTGTGGTAAAGCGACACCGGCGGCTCCTCTAAATGTCAGAGCAGACTGGGTCGCGAATCAAGCGTGCGTGGCGGCGCTATGTGCGCACAGACTAGTCGGCCGCCACCGCGCAACGACCGTCCGCCGAAAGCCGAGACGCAGCGACGCCCAAACCTAGCAAAATTACGGCTACAGCGCCCTCAATCTCGGAGATGTAACCACAAACTCGTTTCAATACTTAATACACTAAACGTTAAATCCAATCGAGATCTATAATTAACGTTTAATTCGACTTTAATAATAATTCTTTAAATTAATTTAGCTGATATTGATATATTTTGAAATTAAGAAGATTATCAATGGACGTAGAGAGCGGTGCGACGGGAGACGGGAGATGCGCGCGCAGTCTCCCCGAGACAACATTCGATTTTGGTCCATGGCTGTTGGATGCTTACTGAGGCCCACTGAAAGCTTTAATAGTTCATTCTGGACTATGAACAAGTAACTTGTTCTATTATCAAAAATATTTAATTTTNTATTGATATATTTTGAAATTAAGAAGATTATCAATGGACGTAGAGAGCGGTGCGACGGGAGACGGGAGATGCGCGCGCAGTCTCCCCGAGACAACATTCGATTTTGGTCCATGGCTGTTGGATGCTTACTGAGGCCCACTGAAAGCTTTAATAGTTCATTCTGGACTATGAACAAGTAACTTGTTCTATTATCAAAAATATTTAATTTAATTTTTTCTCCGACATTTCGACAAATTATCTGAGATAAATATGAAAAACAGATTAATTGGTTCACCAACTCCGTAATTTATTACATTTGTTAATGACGGGAACTACTAATGTAACAGCCGCAGTAACAACACATTTTTATCTTTTATGAGAACATAGTTAGACATCAGACCAGACAACGTTTCCATTAGGTGAAGTGAATTAAAATGTCTTTAACCTTCTTGAATTCTTGGTAAAAATATATTATATGTAAATAAAAAGTACAATATCAAACAAAATCGAAACTCTATCTGTAGGAAATGAGTATAATACTTTAACTGATAATTGTTTATTTATTTATTTATTGCTTATATGGTTGGACGAGCTCACAGCCCACCTGGTGTTAAGTGGTTACTGGAGCCCATAGACAACTATAACGTAAATGCGCCACCCACCTTGAGATATAAGTTCTAAGGTATCAATATAGTTACAACGGCTGCCCCACCCTTCAAACCGAAACGCATTACTGCTTCACGGCAGAAACAGGCAGGCCGGTGGTACCTACTCATGCGGACTCACAAGAACTCCTACCACCAGTATTGAACCACAAGCATTGAAGAAAATGAAAAATTAGATTTGTACTTATTGAACTGATGATGAACAATTGATTCTTGTCTCTTATTCCATTCTTGTCCCTTAACCCATATCTCTATTTGGAACCGGGTCTGCTCTTATATTTACGCTATAGAGTTTAGCATCGGTTGGTTTACGGGTTCGTATATTATCCGCTTTCTAGTTAAACTCTTCGTTAGTCAAACTATTAATTTTAGCATATTTGGGAGCCAGTTTCAATACTCTTCGTCTGTGAAAGTTTCCATTTCATCTCATGTTTTACTCACTCCGGCCGATATGGTATTTTGATTACTTTGCCATGTAATTGTTGCATATGGACTTTGTTGCTATTCAATTTGTAATTAACACACAAAAGCCAAAACCGAATATATAATAATAAAAAGTCAGTCACACTGAAAAAAGGTTTTTCTGTAAGGTAATACTATCGGACCCGACCGACGTTATCCCGTAAATACGTCTTAAATCTGAAAATTTCAAACTTTTTTGAATAAGTAGTATTATGTTTTGAATAAGAAAGAATAAACAATCTGTTTTGGTGATTTTTTTAATAAAAAAAAGTTACATTACCGAATTGTGAATGTAAGCAATTCTCGAATCCACTTGAACACACAAAAAAAAAATATCAAAATTAGTCCCACCGTTTAGAACGCGTTCAGTTACGTACAAACGCATAGAAGAAATATATATATATATATATATAAAGTAAATTTAATTTTATAATAGTAAGTTTTCCAGCACAAATGTTTCTTTATTCTGGAACTTCTGTATAGATAGTACAATTACAATTATACGTAGATTTTCTCGGAATGTCTTTGTTAAAAATATTAATAAAAAACAATCTGAAATGGTTCCTTTTTTTTACATAATTGGGCCCTTGGTAGTGCAAGCTTACTCCTAGTATTTAAATTGTCAGATAAATGTTTTTTTTTCGCGTTCAATAAATAAAAATTTGGATGCTAAAGTGAAAGTTACACTGCGTGTCTTGCTTGTTAAGCATCACTCATAACTAATTGGTAATTGCAATAAGTACGAAACGCCACAAGACAGGTATTTATAGCATTTTCGTCAGTACGCATTAAGCGTTTTAGTCAAATTGAAAGTGTCATTTTATCCATGGTCTCCGGTAACTACTTAATATCAATTGGGCCTCGATCTTCTTCAAAACCCATTGACTGCAGTAAAATAAAATGAAAGCATAACTTCCAGCAGATTTTGCATATATACAAGTCCCAAACAACAAAATACGGCCGGTATTCATTCCGCCGACCTAAAACATCAGTGTTGAAGTTATAGGTTTAATTATGATTATTTTAGTATTAAAAATGAAAAACGTGTGGTTTGTGTACGTACGCCTTTCTATGACACTGTCAAAAATATATTTTAAAATAATAAAAAATATGACAGAGGCTAGCTGTAAAATCTCATAATGTAAACAGCATTAAAAGCATATTATGCAAGAAAAATTAAACAACTAGTTTATTGGAAAAATAAAAAGTCGTAGAACAAGAATATAGTAAAGTTGTTTATCAATAGAAAATAGCTATACCTAACTACGAAAATCTATCATTTAGGTTTCATTTTTGCATGTTTATATCCTACTGTAGAGTAGGATATAAACATGCAAAAATCCAAAATGTATATGTAATTACTTCGCTCCAAAAATGGACAGAATCTTAGTATCTATCTACAGTGGCAGCTCAGAGGTCACAATATGTATAACCCTAAAATACTGCATCTATGTATATATGTATTATATACAGTCAAATTCAAACAAGAATGTTATCTACTTGCGAATGTCGAACCCTTGTTCAAAATATTTGGCAATTTGACTCTGAAAATATATTCATTTATTTAATCATATATAATTATAACACCGTGCTTACTTTGACAACAATACCTTAATAACTTAGCTATACTCGAAAAGTTCTGAACAGTATTTAAACACAAGGCAGTATACGTCACTAAGCATGCATTAGCTCTTATTATTAAAAGCTAATTATTAAAAGTCAAGTCAAGTCATTTTAAATTTAAAACCATTTTTTAAGTTTAAAATCAGTTACCAAAAGTCTTTGCAAATTATGTGTGGAACATATGGGTAACGAAGTTAAGCATACATATGTGCAATTTGTTCAACTTCACTGTGCGACATCCAGTCACCTGCTTATCTCCACAATGCAGAAAGCGGTATATACCCTTTTGTTTTACCATACTCCCGTCGCCTAATATATTTACAAGTTTGCGTTGTGGCGCATGCTAATAAACTTCAGTAGGTCAAATTCAAAGTTATAATAGCCGCAGAAGTCATATACATAAATACGTTAATAAAATTATAGTTGGTTAATTTATTTAAAGTTGGTTACTAGATGATAATAGTGATCAACTCAATACAAATTCATGAATATTTTTTATTACTAACTGTTTCCAGCGGCATCGTCTGCGTATTTAAGGAAAAGTCTCCAATGAATGAGTTGTTATTTTTGGAAATAAAAGGTAGCCTGCGCCATACTCTTCTACCAATTTAAAAAGTTAAATTCATTCATTGCTTTATTTCGACGTTCGTTATTCAAACAAACAAGCACACTTTTACATTTGTAATATTAAAAAGCATATATTTCATTAAAAAAACTATAAAATTAAAATCCAATCCAATTACATTTAGTGGCCGGGCATACCTACTGTAAGCCTGCACGGGTAATTACCACCACCTTATCTGTTTCTGTCGCGAAGAAGCCATGAATTCCAATTTAAAGTGTTTGTCTATGGTTTCCGATAACCACTTAACTCTAGGTGGACCATTCGTTCACTTGTCTATACATACATACATACAAAAACTAAAATTTTGAAGTCGTCGTGGCCTAAAGGATAAGACGTCCGGTGCATTCGTATGTAGTGATGCACCGCTGTTCGAATCCCGCAGGCGGGTACCAATTTTTGTAATGAAATACGTACTCAACAAATTGTTCACGATTGGTTTCCACGGTGAAGGAATAACATCGTGTAATAAAAATCAAACCCGTAAAATTATAATTTGCGTAATCACTGGTGGTAGGACCTCTTGGGAGTCCGCACGGGTAGGTACCACCACCAAATCAAATCAAATCAAATCAAAGGTGAAGTAGCTGTTGTAACTATACTTGAGACCTTAGAATTTGTATCTCGAGGTGGGTGGCGCGTTTACGTTGTAGATGTCTATGGGCTTCAGTAACCACTTAACACCAGGTGCGCTGTGAGCTCGTCCATCTATCTAAGCAATAAAAACAAAATAAAATAAAAAACATAATAATGTGTTTTTATATATATCAGGCATATAAATCAGGATATTTCTAAAAGTATTGCAAATTAAAATACAACTGGTGAATCTAATATATACTAATACTAGATGACCCGGCGAACTTTATTCCGCCTTACAATGGTCATGGTCAATTTTTTATTTGGATAATTAATATAACTTAAAATAGCAAGTATTTTAATGATACTTTATTGGCCATGTATTTTAGCTGTTATTATTATTATTATTGTATTTTCTTGTTCTTCTTCAGTCCTTTCACTCGCAATGTTTCGAATCCTAGTTGCATTACGGCTTCGTCGGGAAAGATTTGATCGTGCCGGTCGCGAAATTACTTTCTTAATGATTACGTATCTCGGCACAATAAATAGAAATGCGAAATTCAACTTCAAAAGTCA